CCCATTGAGAGTTGTGAACGTGAGTGTGAGATACAGAGGAAGATCCAATCATTCATCTTTTCAGGATTCAAATAAAGGTGACAACAATGACAACCTTTATTCCTAAACCATGTCTACAACAAGTAAGTATTGATGTTCTAATTTTATATAATTGATCATGAAATTATTCTGCTTACATTTATTTGATACATATTTCATTTGTAAATTGTAAGTAGTTATAAAATATTTTTTTTAGTATGATAAATTTTATCCCGTGCCTCGCACAGGTATATACACTAGTATTAAATTAAATTAAATATTTAATTTTACTTTATCTAAAATCATTTTCTATAAAAAGTGTGTCAATATTAGGGGGTAAAAATAGAACTGGTCGATAACAGGGGCCTACAGTCTAGTCTGTATAGATTCAGGTCAGGTCAAACATTCTTTTTTAATAGAAAAGGTCTAGGCTTTTTTATAAGTTTATTTAGTTAAAAATTTAGACCTCAGGTCATGAAAAAAGTCTTTAGCCCTAACAGGTCCGTCTATATAAATAAATATAAATAATCTTATTATTATGATTATGTTATGTTTTGTACTTTGAATCAAAATACATAAATAAAACTTGATTATCTTGAAGAACTTATGAAAACAAAATGAAAATATATTATGAACAATGTTATAATTTGTTTTCACAAGTCCTCTTAAGTAAAATAGTCTTACAAAATTTATGTTAATAGATAAGTTAAAATAAATCAATGCAAATAAATTTTTAGTCTCGTTGATTTTTTAGTTTGTTAGTCTATTTAAATATTATTTGAATTGTTTATTACATATATTTAAAATAATAGATTTTTATGTTGACTAACCGTTAATCAAACTTTAAAAAATATCATACTCAAACTTAAAAATAAATCTTTGACAAGCTACATCTCAGATTTAAATTTTATTTTTTTTTAACAAATTAGACTTAAGCTTAACAATGTCTACCTTGAGTCAGTTTATTTCCACATCCTGTCAATACCATCTAATTTTCATAATTTACAAACATATTCAGAAGAAAAACGTGGATGTTAGAACAATACCGCTCCTTAGTGACCCCAAATGCGTCATATTACATTGAGCAAGAATTTTCATTGTTTATAATTTATGATTTTTTTGCACTTGTAATTTTTTTATTTAATTAGATTAGGAAGGCCGAGAGGTGCTGATACAAAGATGTAAAAAAGATTTGGCGGAGAGGGTGTATCACCCAAATCTGGGAAAATTAGTTTAGTGGTCCAAAAACGTTGGGCGTGGAAAACAATGTACTATTTGTACAATGAAATATAATTAAAAGTGCGTTTTAAAATTGATATAAGGAACGAAATATAATTAAAATATATTTTAAAACTTAAATAATAAGAAAGTCGTGATATCGTACGAGTCCCATTTTTATTTATATTACATGTCTATCAGACTATTATTTATAAAATATGAATTTACTTTTCAATTGATTGATATTCACATAGTTACAAATATAGACTAATAATATACACTAATTTTTAAATATTGATTTGTATTTATAATAAACCATATCATCGATTTCTAACTTCAATTATATAAACAACATTAAATTTTTTTTAGAGATGTACACTAAAATAAATAGTCTACAACTGACATCTCACATATACGTTCACATATATTCGTAGACCTACCTTCATTACGATGAATTGTCAACAACTGTTAAATTGGGAAATAAAAAGAATTTTTAGATGAATATACTTGACCAATAGAATATTAAGTCTTTAATATTAATGTAATTTTGTTAAAAATATTCTACAATTTAATCAAAAATAAATTATGTAGTGAATTAATATAAAACATCAACAATTTTTTTTTAAAGATGGAGATTAAAAAGAACAGTATATAATTGATATCTCATAGATATGTTCACATGTACCCGTGAATCTATCTCTAAAAAGACATTCATTACGATGAACAATGTATCGCTGTTAAATTGAAAAATAAAAAGATCTCTCTTAAATAAAGAAGACAATTATAAATTTATTTTTTTTAAAAAAAATATTTTAAATTGAAAAACTAAATCATACATATGTGTTTATAATGAAAAACTAAATTATTCATATTTTAAAATGAAAAATAGTGAACTTATTCATATATTTTCAAATATAACAGCATTGTATCAATTTATTCTTTAATTAAAACTCGTGTATGAGATATATGAATATATATTGCAATGTAATTAAAAACTTTGAATCATGAAAAAATGAGTGATGCATTGACAATGTAAAATAGTGACAGTGTAAAATAGTTTTATACGGTCATCCAGTCACAACTATATATCTAATTAAATTACTATTTTATTTTTAAAAAAAATTAATGACGTATCAAACTAATGGATTTCTATTGGATGACAGTCCATATCTGTTAAACTCTTTTTTTATATCGATCAGTTTTTATCTATCATCATTATTTTTTTTCATGATTACCATTTTTAAAAATGAATTAATTCAAAAACTAAATATTTATTATTGTTTAAAAAATATAATAATATTAATAATGTTTTAATAACATATTTTTTTTCTTCAATTTTAAAAAATATATGGTAATTAATAGTTTTAAGTGTATTTAGAAATATAATATCTAATATTAAGAATTATATATTAATTTTTTTATTTCTTACAAAATATCAACCATTCAAAAGTTTAAGATAAAAGGAAAACCTTATATTTAAAACAATCAAATATTAAACTGTGTTTTTAGTTTTTACAGATATATTTTCCTTGAAAAGTGAGAATAATGACTATTAATAATTATAGGAAATACATTAAATTTAATAATTTAATAATTTACGTATAATAAATAAGTATGGTAAGTAATTGTGAATAAGTTAAAGCAAACAATTATGGTTCAAAAACATCAATATTTTGATTCTTGTTTTATAATATATGGAGATCAATATTCTAAATCTAGTTTTATAACATATGGACACAAATAAAACGACAGCTATAGCTAACTCTTAATGTATGCAAAAAGGAAAGGTAATTTACAAAAGGAATATTAAAAATATTCTCATATAAAAATGGTAAAAAATGATTGTGAACCCTCCTCACTCAAAGACATCGCATAAACAGTAAAAAATGATTAGAGAATAAGTTTGAATACCAAAATCGAAAAATGGTGGTGTGAATTGGATAGGTGATCGAAGATGATCACGGTGGTGGTTATAATGGAAACGAATGGAGAAGTTGTCAGTGATGAGATTTGAATCGCCGAAGGGAAGTCTCGTCGGAACAGATTCTGAGGTGGTTTGCAACCGCTGTACTTTTGAAGTCGGCGTTTGGATCGATGTGATTTCATGTTTTGGCGTAGTGGTTTGTGGCGGGTCTCGTGGAATGAAGTTCGTGGTGGTTGACCAGAAACAGAAAAATAGAAATGAAGGTGTTGAAGCAAATAGTTGTGAAATTGTTGAATATTGTTTTTGAGTTATTTAGTTTAATAATTTTTTTGAAGAAGAAACAAAAGTGTTGTATGATTTCCGTGTGAACTTTCTTTTCAAAAGCTCCATTGAAAAATAATTTTTAATATTTAACGTGTCTTTTGAGTTGCAGTACAATTAATTACTTTTGAAAAATGAAATGTTGTTTTTCAATTCTGCACAATTTACGTGTTTTGCAATTAGTAATGATAAACAAAATTGTTAAAAGATGTATTAATGATAGAAAATTGAAAGGTTGTTTAGAAAAAAAAATTATAAAATATCAATAAAAATATAGATTTGTCACCTCAAATATATTTAATACTAAATCAATATAAAGAAATTTAGTTGTTGATGAGTCGATTTTATCCTTACAATTAATTTATTTAAAAATTTTAATTAAAAAAATTATATTGTAATATATTGGTAATGTAAATTTTATATATTTATATTAGATGTATCTAACCTTAATTTATTCAAATACATAAAATTTCCACAATTGTTAAAGAATAAAAGGTAAAATTAAATATACCTCCAGTGATAGATGAACTCTGACTAAAAAATAAAAATTTGAAAAATATCAAATTATTAAAAATAATGTTTGATTAATATTATGACCTTTTAACGAATTACTTTCCTTTAAGAATTAGACTATAATTTTTTAAAAAATTGTTGATTTTAATTATAACATAATAAAAAGAAGTATCGCTTTTTTTTATATATTTCATTTAACAAAGAATAGATCACTTGTGCATAATGATATCACATATATATTTAAAACTAAATTATAATTACAATTTCAAATTTTAAAATTCAAAATGGTTGTTTATTCTTTTAAAAGATAGTAACTTTCTTCGACAATGTTATTGATTAAAATTTATGAAGTATAATTTACAGGTTTGTGTGTTTTTAAAAAAAGATCTCTTTAATAATCTTTAGTTTTTTACTAGTTTGTAATTTACTTTTAGCGCTAAGTGTTTTTTTCTCTTTGAGATCTGCTCTGAATTCTTATGAGTTCATGAAGTTTAACTCGGTAAATTTTTTATAACACACAATAAATTAAATAAATGATAAACTAATTAATATATTATACACTATCAATTAAAATCAAAGTTTAGGTTTTCTTCTTTACTTTTTTTTAATCTTTATTTCTCTTAATCACACTCACTCTCTTTTTAAATCAAAAATGCTTTTATGATGGAAAGAGTGAGATAGAGGATTAAGAGAAGAATGAAAAAAAAAAAAAAAAAAAAAGAGGAATCAAAATGAAACTATAGTTAAATACAAAATTTAAATTAATTAAGTGTAGTTTAATACTCTTTCTCTGCACATTTCTTTTAAAAAATAATAATAAAACTAAATCAGATGATAAAATTAATAATCTATAATAAAAAAATCCATGGAAACCGTTTTGGTTGTTGTTGATTGAGTTATAATATTATTGATCAAATACAATCTAGATGAACAAAATAGAGATTAAGATATAATTATGATCTGGATCTAAATTACATCTAGAGATTAGAAAATAAGAAATATGAAATTATACAGTGATGTTATGCTTGCCGGGATTATCAGCAGCTTTCAACGTCTTCTCAATGATCTTACGAGCTTTTCTGCTTCGAATCTCCACCTTCACGCTTGCACTCTTATCGATCTTTATGTATGGTTTCTTTCCCTTCTTCATCTTCAGTGTTGACCGAACCTTCGACTTTATCGACTCAACCAGATTTCCCAACTGATTCGCCATAGAAATCCTCTGCTAGCATTGATCAATCAATCTGCAACTCACTCACCCACCGAGTAATATGGAGAAATAGACTAGTCAAAATAAAGTGCCTCTCTATATGTAAATAAATCTCAACTAATTGCCCTCGATGCTACAATTATTTACCATCTTTGCCATTCTTGCCACGCACCGTTTCTAAACTTTTATTTTTACTTCTTTTTCTTTCTATTCACACAGGTACTCTAATAGATTATTAATTCCGCGTACACAAAAGGTAAATTATATTATTATATCTACTATCACAATCACTAATACTGTGTCTTAACTACATTATTTTAAAGATTGCAATTAATTAATATCCATGTTTTTAATAAACAAATGAATATACAATCTTTTCATTTTTTATTATAAATCGTTTTAGAAAAAAATGTATATTATAATATAAATTATTTTACAATATCAATAAATAATTAATATTATTTTTTATTATATTTTTAAATTTTTATTATTCTTTCTTCTTTTAATTATATAAATATGTTTTCTGTATATCATTAGACAATTTCGTAAATTTTTTTATAATTTTTCATTTTCATATAATAATTATTAGGTTTCTTAATATTAAAAAAATCTAAAACAATTTATAATAAAAAATAAAGATAATAATTACTGATATTTAAATCTGCACTTTTTATAATAAATTAATTATTTTAAGGGTTGTGCGTATAAATTAAAAATACTATAATTAAAAATTTTGTATTGATTAAAACAAAATTTAAAGTTTCAAAAAATTAAATACACAATTTCAAAAAAATATTGTTATAAATAGGTTATTAACTTGTGTTTTTGAGTATATATTAATATTAATCTTATTTTAATATATAATTATTATTAAATTGAAGTAATATGTATAATTTAATCATATATTTTAACTAATATAATATAAATATTAATTAAAAATGAAATGAGATTATAATAAGGGAATTTCTCTTTACACTTAAGTAGCTTTGATTTTATCATTGAAAATCTGGTGAATTCACATATAAGGATGTTTCAGAAGTGCATATGTGAAGACACCCTTATTTTGCACGTTTTAATATTTTAACGTTGAATTTTAAAAAATTGAGGGGGTTTTGCATGTGCACGTGCGAAATATCCTGAAAGGTGAATTCGAATGTGCACATGCGAAACTTCCATTTCCATATTAGAATGTTGCATGGTCACTTATTTCAACTATTTCACCAATTTGATGGAGCTTGAGAGAGAATCAAATAGGGAGAAGTCGAAGAAAATTCCAATTTTAGATTTAAGCAGTGACAATTTTTTCGGTGTATTTTAGAATATAATCGAATCATTTTTTTGAATGTATTGTCGAACATATTGTAAAATCTATACGTTTCATTACATATATAACATATTATCTATATTTATTTTTACAGTCTCTTTGGTGCAAACAATGATTCTGTTTCGGTTTCTGCATAATTTGAAAGTGCATATGCGAATTAACCTTAAATATTAAAAAAAATAACATACGACTTAATTCGCATATGCATGTGTGAATTCACCTCCTATTTTTACAAAAAACGTGGTGGTTTCGGAAGTGCACATGCGAATTCCCCTTATTTGTGTAAAAATATGGATAATTCGCACGTGCACTTACAAATTAAGTCTTAATAAGATTTTTTTCGTCCATATTAATATGTAGTGTCATTTCTGGTCCACACCTTGCTTTTGTCTACTTCAGTGACGCGCAGTCGCCACTTCAGTTCAGGTTTTCACATGACACATCATTCGGTGAGCTCATTACGATACTATATTCTCTCTTGCAATATCCAGAGAATCGAAAGGTGATCAAACTTGAATATCGTTCACCTTCACTTAACACTGAAGGAAACGTAAAGTTCACCTCGTTTGAGCTAAAAAACGATGACAATTTAGAGGTTATATGAGATACCTTTTAATAATACTCTTCCAAGGGTCCCATTGAGATTGACACGAGGCTTCAAAGATCGGTAGCATATATTATCAAGATGTTGCAACGTCCTAAACTTTTAGTTTATAATAATATATAATTTTAATTTTCTGCATAACTAATTATGTAATTTCTTTTAATTATGTTGAATGAATGCTATAAATTATGTTGAATAATGTCGATTGATCTGTCTATATAAATTTGTATATATACATCCGAAAATACATAACAACTGACTTCACATATACATATACGAGATAAATCTACGAAAACACATTGATAGCGTATTTGTATATACACTTACAAATTTTAAAAGTATTTTTGATTTTTTTTAACAAGTCTAAGGTATGGAAAGAAATTCCCTTATAATATATTCAAATATCAAATGTAACTCTTATTTTGTGAGTTGTGAGGGGGATAGAGAGATTCAAAATATTAAATTAAATGCAACAAATTAAATGCTTTTGTTTTGTTCTCAATTTCTGGTTCAAAGTCAACGTTAGTTAGGTGCATGGTAATGAATATTGACCGTTTGATTGTGGAATTAATTTGGATATGAATTCAATTCATTGAATGGTTGGTTGGACCAGCGTCGATAAGTTTAAGAGGTGGACGGAGTTATAATTTTTTTATTTTATCAAAAATAAACAAATGAATGGTTTTACTACGAGAAATAATACATTTGAAATAATATATTTAAAAACAACAAAGAAATAAAACAAAAGCTTAGAGATAAGAATTGAAATCTGAGAATAAAAAACAGTTTGAATTTCTTTAAGAGACTTAGTGAAATCTAAAAATTTATTTTATACTATCAAATAATTAAATGAGACTAATCTCTTCCCCTTTTTTTTAATTAAAAATAAAAAATATTCATTCATTCAAATTGATAGAGTTTATCACTGCAATACAAATTCAAAATCGTCAAAAATAAAAAATATAAATTTGTGAACAAATTCACAACATTCATATTAATAGTATAAAACGACAAATTACATAAGTCTACAAATATGAATATGTCTGTATTGAAATATCTGAAATATTCATGTCTTCGAATTTGTAGCATTAATGACACAACAATCTATTATCTATTATAAATATATAAAAACCAAAGTACCATTAACTTACCATAATACCCTAATTAGTAAATTTCAATTTAGTCTTAATCTAAGGGTATATTTGTAACTTTCTGAAATACTTGCACCATATTGATTTGACAATAAATATGGCTGATGTGTCACACTATAGTTTTTTCTGTCACTTTTTACTTTTTTCTTAATTATTTCTAACTAACAACAATTATGTCATTTTGTTTATATTTACACGTTATAATCACACCTAATTATGTGCTACATACCACTTCCCAAAATCCTCATCCAAACCAAAGGTCATTCAATTTGAAATTTAAATTAAAACACTCATATTATAGCTGTTACGCACACTGGGTTTTGAAATTCTAATTATTCCACTAAACCCTAATCACGTTTTTTGTTGCAAGATTTAAATTGGCAGCACAAGATGAACAACCATCATAAATGTTGAGTTCTTGAAACGGTAAATCTATACAACCAAAGAAATCGTTTTTCCCAAGATGCAACAAATAACTCATTCACCCAACTCTATTAAAACACAAATCAGAAAACCTAATTTCATCTTCTTCATGCGCCGCTCCATCTCTTTTCATTCTTCTCTCTTTGTTGCTACCAATTTCGTTTCGTTGTAATCTCAACCATCTAATATTCTCATCCTAACCTGTTAATTTATTTGTTTCAGACGTTCAAGCGTAAGAATGGTGGTCGCAACCAAGACCTCTGAATCTCAATAACATCAATAACCAACAACACCCGTTATAGATCTATAAAAGAATTTCCTTCAAATGCAATTTTTAACGTTAATTTGATTCATACATATGTAAGTGACGAAGGTGAGTGATTGAAACATGTGATTGAAAGTTGAAACTGAAATGTAGTTTGGAATATCATATTTTATGTTGTATTCTTTTCGTTTTCAGGGTTGTCTTACTATTTCTCCTTTTCCAAAAAAAAAGCTTAACTTGACACCTAAAATGGGATATCTTTATCTTTAGGTTTGAGAGTTGCAGAAGGGGATTTTTGAGCTTGCATGTGACGAACAACACAACCATGATATTGTTTATTTTTTGCTGTTAGGTATGTTTTTTTTATTCAGATTTTATTTCTCAATTTTTTTAATTTTTTAAATTAAAATATGAGGTTGAGTTTTGGCTTTTTTTATTTGTTTAGTCTTGGTGAATACAAAGCTCACACATATATATTTACGATTGATTCTCCAAATAGATAGAAGCTTATTTCTTTTGCTTCCTCTTTCAATTTATTATTAATCTATTTAAATTTCAATTTCTCCCATCACATGTTTGATAAAAGAAGGCAGTATATTCTCATCAATTTTGTTGTTTATTTTGCTTACTATTATATTTATTTGTATCTAATTGAGATTTTTGTATTTATTTTCTTGATTTAATCGGTTCTTCTTTTGGAATATGTATGGATATGGAGGCTGATAATTGATTTCACACTTGAATCAGTAGGGGACCAATCAACAAATTGAATAACGGATTGATACGTAAAATGAAATTATGCTGATTGCGATTTGATTTTGTCATGTGAAAACAAGTTTAATATAGTCACAATCTGTCTTAACAAGGAATTATCAAACTTTACCTCATGGTCGATTCAAGCATTTGTTTTCGAGGTTGAACATAGAGAGAGGATTAGTGGTTCGGCTTATGGGGGTCAACAGGACATCTGTTGCACCAATGATCTTCCTAAACTCACTGTGTGCAATGATGGACAGGGCTGTCACCGGCCTTCTCCCATGAATTCAAATTGGCCTGAAGTTTATGGCGTGGCTTTTTATCATGCCCAAGAAATAAACAGTTTGTTTTTAGTTTTAATGCTTTATAATATTATTGTTTGCAGAGTTGTCTTAGCATTTTAAGTGCCAATATTCATCATGGTCATGGCTGAGTGACCATTTGCTTCTCTAATTTCACAAACAAAAATATTGCTAAAGA